GGTGTGCGTGAGACTGTCTCGCCAGGGGTTCACCTTGTTTTACTGCCGTGAAGATCAGTTTAGCCGATTACTTCACTTGTCCGGCTTTATATTTTCTTCTAATGATTCTAGTTGGGTGCCTTTTTTTAGCCTCTTTCACCTCCCCGAGAGTAAGTCGATGTTATTCTGCAAGTTCACTCCTAGTGAAGTCCGTTTTCTTTCTCCCAATTCCTTTCAAGCTACAGACCAGCTGTAACCAAATGCCAGTGAGAAAAACATCTTCCAAGTGCAGTGAGCTCCTCTTTGTTTTAGGCGGAGGATCAGTTGGGTGGTGAAGAGGAAGGGAATTCTTGAAAGCAATGAAGGAGCTCTTTTGAGCTGGCAGGTCCTTTCATGCTCGTCAGTCAGTATAGCCAGACCAGCTCTGTTCATGTTGCCCCTCACCTGGTCTGATGGGTGGGCGGTAATGAAGGAAGAGGTTCAGGGTGTGGGACAGAAACCTGCAGGAAACCGAGAGTTTGTAAGTTCAAAAATCATGGAACAACTTGCTTTCTAAAAAGTTAAGTTTTCCTGGAAGTGAATTTTGACCCTGTGAGATGGTTTTATGTACAGTGTTTACTAAGAGGGCTGTGGTGCGAGTTCTGTGACCGTGATTGAACATGAGTATCTGTTTCTGAAGCTGAGGCATCTCTGGAGTCCAGGCACTACATCTAACATCATCTGACAGTGTTGTGTAACTGTAAACAGTGCAACCACCGTTTATAATGCCAAATAGTTGTGGGTAGATATCATGAATCAATTGTGGTGTAGTTGCTAAACTTGCTACTCCTATTAAAACAAAAAAATAACTTCTTTTAGCAATAATAGGGAATTATTCTTTCTCACTGAAGCTGTGGCATTAGCTGTTGGGAGTCCCTTGAATTTAAGCATATATGCTTCTAAAACTTTGATGTTAAAATGAGTTTAATAATAACTTGAAGTGTAAGGGTAGATGCAGTATAGTTCTATAGGAAAAATGTGCTTGTTTGTGTTTCAAACAATTTAGCTGTTACTCTCTAATACTTTTTGTCTGTTTGGTAAGGGTAGCAGTAAGGTCTGCTTACCTCACTCATAACATGCCAGCCGGCTATAAAGATGAGACTCTCTTGCAGTGCCTCTCCTCGTGTTTATCTCCACGTATGCAATTAGCTAGCTTGACTCCTGAGGGGATCTTAAGAATTCCCTAAACTTGTCCTGTACAAGAACTGAACAAGTTAATGTTGGTATAATTTGGCCCAGTAGTTTCTTCAACAACAGCGAGTGTGTTAAATGTGGAGTGTTTGACTTTGAACTTTAGCAGGGAGGCACCATAATGTCGAGTTCATGTGGGATTAGTTGAGTCTTCTCTTTTTTATAGTTGGTTAAAGAGCACTTCGTACTGGAAAAGTGTACCAGGTAAACAAGAAGTCTGTTGTAGCTGATCCTCTGTAAATGTACATGTTTCATGAATAATGTGATTCAGTATCCCCTGTATAACATCTTACTTATGAGTAATTTGACACAAGCAGTTGGTTGAATGCTTCATTTTTAGAATCTGTAACTTTCCAGTGAACCAGGAAGCTCCTTGGGAGTGCTTAATGAGAGTATTGTTACTTTTTTAAAATAAAAAATGAAAAAATCGTTTGGCATGCCAAAACGCAAGGCAAGTATGGTTCCACTATTTAAATGATGATGTGTACTGAAAGCCTAAAATGCGTTCTTAATTTTTAAGGTGCCTTCTGATTTGCATCTGGAAGCGGTGTGCTGTAAACATGAGTAGTTTGCTCTTTGCTATTTTTTTTTTAGCATTAAACCCCTGTTGGCTATTTATAAACTCCCTCTGCATCTTTTTTTACCTTCCTTTTGGTAGAGGAGAGGGATGATGGGCCCTGCATGTGCTTTTAATGCTCACCTTGTTTTTTATCTAGTTCTGCAAAGCTGTCTGGCATTAGAGAGATTATGGATTTGCCTGGGGGTGCACTGTGCATGTAGCGCCGTTGCTGGCTGACTTCATTATAATAATTTGCGGCTGACAAAAGGCTCTCCTGCAGGAGCACATGCAGTCAGGTTGTCCTTTCTTCAGCTTTCTTCTTTAAGCTGTGCTTCAGTAGTTTCATTCAAGGTAGCATAAGGTTGGGCATCTTTTTCTGTGTCTACATATTCAATAAAAATAAGTGCCTGGGAAGAGATGCTACAACCTGTGTCCTGACCGAAGGAGACATACAGCTTGTTCTCCTTTTTTTGTTGGTAAAATATACAATGGCGAAAGATTAAAAAACTTTTAACTGCAGGAAAAGCTTTGCTGAGAACTTCTTCCTCTGGAGACCTCAGCAAATTCTGTGAGTGAGAGTTTGATGATGGAGAAAATCCTAGTCATGTATGATTCTCCAAGACACTGTAAATCAGTGGGAGGGAGGACACGTCTGCGAAGTTCTAAGCCTGGAAAATACACACACTGGATTTTTTCAGGGACTCTGGCATATTAGTCTAGAAAGCATGTGCTTCCAAGCTCTTAGTTCCTGTCCCACTCAAGACTTCTCTGTTGAAGTTGCCAAAGTGCAGGAGTGTGTATTTCTGCATATGAATTCTAAAAAGTTTGCAGTGCGAATTACGCCCTGTTTGTCATATGATTTCTTGTCTGTAAAGTAAATGCCTTGCAATAATTGTCACTTGTAGCTGGAGTATCCCAAGAGAAGTTGGTGCCTTCTGCTTAATGTTGGCTCTTTGTCATCTTTTCTCAGATTCTGTCAAAGTGGAGGTGCTTCACAGAAATACTTCTTTTAGAAGTGAGAATGAAACGCTAAGTAGATCCCAAAATCTGACAGGCAGCTTGCAGAGAATAACCTCAACAAAAAAGGAGGTGAAGCCAACAACAGCTAAAACCAATTCGGTGACTGCAGTGAAACCATCGACAGCAAAAGGGGATTCTCCGACGTATGTGCTCTCTCGGGCGGTGACTGCTAGTCCGGTGTCTCAAATGGATGTTGATGCTTCTGAAGACACTAAAATTGAGGAAGAGGATCTCCTCACGGGTTTGAAAGACACGCTAAATAGTTCACCACCCCTCATAAAAGAAACTATGGAGTCAGATGTAGGAGATGACTATGGTCCTTATGAAATGACAGCGAATTCCAGATACAACCCAGACCTTCTAGAACTGCCAGATGATGATGACTCTGACGCCATCAGTAATTACAATGAGGAGATCAAGACCCTTGATGAGAAGATAAAAGATGTTTCTGTCACAGGGTTGGAAGAAGAAGAAGACAGCCATTTCTTTTTTCATCTGGTTGTAGTTGCCTTCTTAGTAGCTGTTGTTTATGTCACTTACCATAATAAGAGGAAGGTACGTATGCTGTGAAGGGTTGAGAGGAGCAGCTTTGGTATTTCAACTGGAGTTGCGTTGCCTTGTACGCTTTTTTAAGAGCAACTTGGCTTTTTGGAGAATGAAATCTTTGACTGCTTGGTCCTGTTGTGATACTAATACGCAGATCATTACTGTCATTTTTATCTGCACAATGAAAATGAACTTGAATCAGACATTTTAGATTAGAAAATCAGTTAATTGATAACGTCAGTAATCCATCAGTTGGTTAGTGGACACTGGCAGTGTACAACACGAGTTCTGTAAATGAGACCTGAGCCGAGTTGACCGAAGGTGGTCGATTAACTGATTTTATTTCCGCACAGGTTTATGAACAGTAAATTCAGGGAAATTTAATCCCCAATGGCATGGGAATGCTCTTGTTACAACTGTCATAGTCCTCATAATAAGTATTCACTTTAAGGTGGTCTTTAACTCATAGATATTCTGTGGGCTTAACTACAAACTTTTAGGCAATGTTTAAC